TGCAACAGTTAATAAGTGGTTATTAACTATTAATAACTTGGAGTTATTAAGTGTAGGGTTAAAAATTCCCATCACTAGCCTTATGTACACAAGGAAGGTGAGAATGACTGTATGTGTTCAAGGCAGCATGTATGCTTCAACATCTATAAAATTTTCTGATAATCAAACATTGCATATTTGAATTGTTTCTTTTTCAACAGTGTATTGCCTTGACATCTTCTTGTAATTATATATTAATAACAATGTCATTATTACAATTACACAAAACAAAATACCTATATTAATATTATTTACACAAATTAATGATCCATTATCCTCAATTAAACTTGAAGTCTACACCAAGTTCTTCAAACATTCTTATATTTATCTATATTAATATACCTCATAGTTAAGTATTAACCAGTTAAAACTTGTTGATGAAAAAGTTCTCCCTGAGGGAACACTTGGGGCTATTAAAGAATTAAAAAAACTTGCAATGGAATCCACCAACAAAGAACCCACATTACAGGGTTGGCAAATGTGCAGTCCATTGATGGTCTATTAGTAGTCCATTGGGTCCATTAGTGTGACACCATAACCATATTTAGTATTTTATTAATGGCAATGGACCAGCCCAAAATCCATCCATTCTCAATGGACCAATCAATTTTCCAACCCTGCCACATTTGAATTATTTGATGATGATAATTTTGTTAATAATGAAAAAAATAATAATATAGGCGAAATTGACCATCTTGATGAAGATGTGCAATATATTCTAGATTTATTAAGATTTGCGTAAGTTTTTATACACAAGACCAATATGTTTGATAAATCATTATCATTTAATTTTGTATGTATTCTTTTTGTCAGTTGTGAGGGAAAGAGATTCCAAAAAGGAAGAATACAAAAAGAGACATTGATGTTTTCATCAAGACTCATATATTCTCATGTTTGGATGACATTATGGATCGGCATTTGTAAACTTTATTTTATTTATTTCCAATTATTATGATAAAGCATAAGTGGTGAAGCTGTGTCACATGCTTCCAGATGGTTTTGTTGCATTTATATGACTCGTCAAAAAGTCACCTGATTGAGTCAAGTAATCAGCCTATTTCATAATCCGGCAACATTTTTTCTCCAAAAGTTAAAAACTTCAGGTAATCTCTATTTCCGGCCCTAATCCTCAACCGCCAACCATTTTTAATTCCAGACAGTTATACTGCTCATATCTGATTCTCATTTAAAACAGAATTGAAACTATGCCGTCGGTGTCAAAAATCCCAAAGAAAAACTTGATGTGTTTCCAGAAAAAGGGGAGCTTGAAAAGGAAGTACGATTGAAATATATTTACTTTTTCTCGGAAAAAATAATGGTGTCTGTTGTTGAACCTGGGTATAAATGTTAATTTATTCATCGCGACACCAATAGGCTATTAGATCTTTTGAAGCTCTCCGGGACCAAAGTCAGATAATAAAGATTTATGGTGTAATGAAACATTCAATTTGCAGAGATTTATTAAGCCGCATTGTAAATTTAAAGACAGATGGAGTGGCTGTTGAAAGTAATCGAATATTGACAGCAGATGGTTCAGTGTGGAGTTTGGGTTCTGGAAGAAATGATCCGCATGTTGTTGTTGTTGTCAACAATGGAACGTTCGAATAAAGAATGTCGGGAACTTGCTGGATTTATTCGGGCACAGAAAAAGAGAAGCTTGGTTGAAGCATAAGAGCGATCACCTATGGATTAAGAGTATAGATTTGTGTTCGCAATAATAATAATGTTTATATTTATATTTGAATTACAGTGAAATCACACCCGTCATCACATACTGCCTCCATAATATATACATATCAAAATCATCTTTTTGATGAACTCAATCATCTCCTTTACCTGCTTGATTTCTATGGAAAATCATGGTATCGTGGTCTTTGTTTTGATGTGTACTGCAGGAAGCCAAAGGCAATGAATGATGCCTGTAAATGAATAACGAAAGGGAATAAAAGAACGTTGGTTGCTTTTGGAAATGCGGGTTTTTCATCAATATCCGAGAAATTTCTCCTGCATCTGTGAATGGGCTTCATAAAGAGCTAAACGTATTAGTATTGCAGAATAATAGAAGTAGATGGATGAGTTTCGTACGAACCGGATCTGTTCAAGACGCAAACATGTCCTTAATTGTGCTTGTTCGAGCAGACAGACCTGGAGTATGAAGTAATGGCTTATTGAAATCAAGATAACATTAACAAAAAATTTCGTAGCATCAGGGATATATTTGTTTATTTATTCCAAGCTACATGTATAATGGAGCAAGCAAGACCCCTAATATTTTAGGGTCAGTGACCTCAGAGGCGTGATGTTTTGTCACTTTGCAAACTTATCAATTCAAACTTGGAATAAAAATTTTTATTCCCAAATATACTATTATATTTATATTATTATTATTATAATTATTATTATTATTATTATTATTATTATTATTATTATTATTATTATTATTATAATTATAATTATTATTATTATTATTATTATTATTATTATTATTATTATTATTATTATTATTATTATTATACATAATAATAACATTGATAGCATTTTTTTTACACGAAATTTCCTTCATATATATATTTAATATGTACCTATTGCATTTTTAATTAGTTTTCGTAAATCATTCCCTAAACAGAAAAAATCCAACAATCAACTTCGGGGTTCGCGTTAATATGATAAGGCGCTTTAATTGAAGGTCACATACAATAGAGAGTCCTCTGCGTATATACAACAAACCTTTTGCACACAAACACAAATATAATTAATTAAACTTTTTTGTAACAATCACCAATATATAAAAAGTTGGTCGGAGTTTTTTAACAATAACACACTGCTAAAACTGTCACCGATAAAAACATTTTGTGACACAAACAAACAGACTAAACAATTATTTCAATGAATTTACTAAATTAACTATTACTGCGTCTCACCGTTATTATCAGTTTATATTTCTCCCTTTATCTTTGATCTTATGACCTATTTATCTAATGAAAATGATTTTTATATAAATATAGTAAAGGATAAAACTTTTTTTTTAACTTTTTTTTGATCTGATATAAATAAATAAACAAGTTTTTAAAAATACCGAAATAATTTTCTTTAACTCCTTATGATAATTATTTATTTATATATATCAATATCGACAAAATTATTTCCATTATTAATTATTCTCACATTATATAAAAAAAATTTTAAACGGTAGTCGGTATAATAACAAAAACAATAAACGATACCACCGCCAACAATATGTCTCAAGGTAAATAACAATATACCTATTTTTATTTTTCAAACTTATTTTTTTTTTTCAACTTATTTTTTTTTCCAACTTATTTTTTTTCTCGCAATTTACAATTTTTGCAATTTACAACTTTACAACTTGCAAATTTCTCATTCTCGTTCTTCACTCCTTCAGAATATCCACAACATAATAATTTGCCATCAAGTCAAGTATCTTGGAGTTTCGTTTCTAATAATGATAATTTGTTGGATGATGATGATAAAAGTTATTTATATTCATGCGCAAGTGACAAGTCATGGAGTGTTCTGGGTGGAAGCACTCAAGAAATTTCCAATTCATTAAATTATGGCTATCAACATAATTATGATGATAATGATAACTCCACTATTGTTGATTCACTCAGTATAGTTGCAAATAATAAAAATAAATTTAATAATAATAACTCAAGATTATCATCAAAAACTTCCCCCCCTCCACCTTCGTCATTCCCAGAACCCGAATTTGCACCTTCTATCAACAATGAATCAACTAAAGATTTTCTTGAAGATACTTTTAGATATGAAAGAAGAAATCCGGAAGATTACGTCGGTCATCCAAGTCAAGATTTGCGTGATAATATTGATAATATTGAAAAATATGATGATGATATCGATGATGATTATTATAATAATGATAATGAAGAAGAAGTAAACTATATTAATGATGTTGATGATGATGATGATGTTCCTCATGACATTGATCAAAATGATGATAAATTTCAACTTAGTCCAAAAAACCTATTAAAACTAAAGAAAAACCATTGGACTCATTACATTTTATATTCTAGTAAGTTTCTTTATAATTACATGAGAGTGGGAGGGTTACATGAACAATTTTATATATTTACTAATAATCTATTTTCTTTAGCATTGTATTTATTATTACCAATTATTTGTGGAGTGTTTATTTATTATTATTATAATTACGATAATATTATTAATGATAATATTAATAGTAATAGGATTAATGATAATAAGATCCATAATAATAAAAATAATATTCTTAATAGTAATCTTAATAATAATAATAATAATAATAATAATATTTTTAAAATTTATTATGAATTTATTGTTAATGATCTCAAAAAAAAAATATTTAATTTTTAAATTTGGAATTCAAAAAACTCAATTTTAATAAATTTTACATTTACATTTACATCTCATTTCTCATTTCTTTTTTTCTTTGTAAATTTTTTTTTAAATTTTAAACCAATTTTTTTTTATATCTTCTTATTTTTATTGTTTGTTTGTTTAAATATTATGATTATGATTATTATTATTATTATTATTACTATTATAATATATTATCATTATTATCTGCACAAACTCAATTTAATAAATAATTAAATAACAACTTTCTTGATTTTTATTTGCCATGTGATATTTGCTTTAGCAACAGTGTCTAATTTTCTCATCTTTAAGGATAACTTCTACTTCCTGCTCATCTATTTTAGATTTTTAAA